CTTACTGATGTGCGTTCCCCTTCAATTTGCTCGTTTAACTTTCATCTGCGTCACGCAAGCAATATCTTTCTATCTCTCTCCCTGCAGTCGGTGCCGCATCACCTTCTGACTCCCTTCTTCTACCCCTCACTTCCCACCCCCCGTTTTCCATCGCACAGATTAATGAGAGCCCAGCCCCTACAGCCTCCATCACTCACTCTGCCAACTTACGTCGGCGCAGCTCAGGGGACAGCCAACCATCTTCGCATAATTTCCCCTCTGTGAATCGTGCGCTACCCCCTTCCTCCCCTCTTTCCTGACATCCCTGTGTGTCCCTGCACTCACTTTGCCAAATACCACGATCAAAGTAATTATAAACGGTTGAACAATGACTTTCTCATCGATTAAAACATGACCAAGTAGTTCTGAGCCATGGCTCGAGTGCAGATTCGAAGCAGTACGACCACCTCCCTTTTCGTCGCACTTATTCACGGCCAATAGCAACCTGATTCAGCTCAGAGAATTACGCCTACTTCGGGACACGTCGTCTCGCAAAGCTGTCCACGCGAAGTCGCGCCGTGGCGCCGCCGCTCCCCTCTCCGTCTCTTCATTTGCAGTATTTTCCCCCCGGGAGCCTCATTGGCATTCCGTCTGTGAAAGCGGCCAGCCTCCCTGTCATCTCTCGCGATCCCCCCCCCCCTCCTCCATCCTGCCTCGCCGACCTACTCCACCATACTCCCGGGCCCGACTAATCCCCCCTTAATCCACTGACGCCACCGCTGACGGTCCGCGCTCGCGTCTTAACGTGTGGCCCAGATATATTATTCATTCAGAATGGGTCACCCGGGAAAGAGGTTCGGCAAAAGCAGTTCCGAGAGACTGCGCGCGGCCACCTCGCACTGTTGGTTCAGGCAGGACAGCAAAAAGCTGGCTATAAATATTTTTACATACACTGGTGTACGCATATTATAATCTGCATTGTTCGATCAGGTAGTGAATGTTCTACAATGTAAAGAAAACATCTTTAATTAACAGCAAATCTCTGTTAATTTTTTTATTGACTCCGTGCTCCGTGTTGTTGTAGAGCAACGAAAGTTGTTCAGGAACGACAAAAGTTGTTTAGGAACGACAAAAGTTGTTTAGGAACGACAACGACAGAACTGTCTCTTCTCGACGATAGTTGTTTAAAAATAAAAAAAAGGTTGTTCAGCAGCAACAAGAGTTGTTCAGAAACAAAAAATGTTGTTCAGCAGCAACAAAGGTTGTCCAGAAACAAAAAATGTTGTTCAGCGGCAAAGGTGGATATACAGAGTTCCCAAAACGCGGGCGTGATTTTCACGATAGGCGTGATTTTCACGCTAGGCGTGATTTTCACGCTAGGCGTGATTTTCACGCCAGGCGTGATAAAAGTCGGTTCCTGATTGGCTGTGTGAAGCTTACGAAACGTGCAAAATCACGCCTGGCGT